AATGAGCAAGGGGTGCATAATTTTTTTTAAGTTAGGATAAATATCAGAAATAGAATGGCTGGACCATACGATACCTTATTTTTAATTTTTTGAGGAACTTCCATACTATTTTCCATAGTGGCTGTACCAATTTATGTTCATACCAACAGTGCACAAAGTGTTATTTTTTCTCCATATCTTCTACAATACTTGTTATTTCTTGTCTTTTTGATAATAGCTATTTTGAATGTGGTGATAATCTCACTGGGTTTTGATTTGCATTTTCCTGATGATAACTGATGCTGTCATCTTTTCATGTATCTGTTGGCCATCTAAATGTATTTTTTTGGGGAAATACCTATTCAGATCCTTTTTCGATTTTTTGAATGAATTATTTGCTTTTTTTGGTTATTGAGTTGTCTGAGTTATTTACATATGTTGGGTATTAACCCCTTATCAGATATATGATTTGCAATTTTTTTTTCTCATTCATTATGTTGCCTTTTTATTCATGGTTTCCTTTGCTATTCAGAAGCTTTCTAGTTTGGTGTAGTCCTAATATTTGGGGGGGGGGTATTTTTGCCTTTGCTTTTGGTATCAAAATAAAAAAATTATTACTACAACCAATGTCAAGGAGCTTACTGCTTATGTTTTCTTCTAGGAGTTTTATGGTTTCAGATCCTATATTTAAGTCTTCAATCCATTTTGAGTTAATTTTTGTGTATGGTAAGACAGTGGTTGAGTTTCATTCTTTTGCATGTGGCTGTCCAGTTTTCCCAACACCATTTGTTGAAGAGACTGTTCTTTTCCCATTGTATATTCTTGACTCCTTTGTCATAAATTAATGTCATTAACCCACATATACATGGATTTTTTTCCTGGGCTCTCTATTTTGTTCCATTGATCTATGTATCTGTTTTTATGATAATATCATACAATTTGGTTACTCTAGCTTTTTTAACATAGTTTGAATCAGGGAGTGTGAGTTCTCCACCTTTGTTCTTTTTCAAGATTGCTTGGCTACTCAGTCTTTTGTGGTTCCATACAAATTTTAGAATTGTTTTATTTTTTGTGAAATATGCCATTTGAATTTTGATAGGGATTACACAGAATTTGTAGATTGCTTTAGGACCTTTTAACAATATTCTTCCCATCTATGACCAATTATTATCTCTTGATTTATTTGTGTCTTCAAATTTTACTTCCTTGGTTACATTTATTCCTAGGTATTGTATTATTTTTGATGCAATTGTAAATGGGATTGTTTTCTTAATTTCTCTTTCTGAAAGTTTACTATTAGTGTAAAAAAGCACAACGGATTTTTGTATATTGATTTTGTTACCTGTGCCTTTACAAAATTCACTAATTAGTTTGAATAGTTTTTTGGTGGAGTCTTAAGGGTTTTCTATATACAATATGATGTCATCTGCAAAGAGTAGCAGTTGTATTTCCTTTCTGATTCAGAAGTCTTTTATTTCTTTTCTTGACTGATTGTTCTTAGAACATTGAATAGTATGTTGAATAAAAGTAATAAGAGTGGACATTCTTGCCTTGTTCATGATTTAAAAGAAAAGCTTGCAGCTTTCACCATTAAGTATAATGCTAGTTGTGTTTTTGCCATATATGGCCTTAATTATGTAGAGATATGTTTCCTATAAACTCAATTGAGAGTTTTTATTGTAGAAGGAGTTGAATTTATCAAATGCTTTTTTCTATATCTATTGAGATGATCACATAATTTTTATCCTTCATTTTGTTATTGTGGTATATCACATAGGTGGTATATCACAAAGGACCAGCTCTTAGTTTCATTGATCTTTACTATTGTCTTTTTAGTTCCTATTTCATTTATTTCTGCTGTAATCTTGTTATTTCCTTTCTTCTACCAACTTTCAGTTTTGTTTGTTCTTCTTTTTCTAGTTTCTTGAGGTGTTAAGTTAGATTGTTTATTTGAGATTTTTCTTTGTTACTTGAGGTACGTGTTTATTGCTATGAACTTACTTCTTAGAACTGCTTTTGCTGCATTCCATATATTTTGATGTGCTGTGTTTACATTTTTATTTATTTCAAGGTATTTTTTTTATTTCTCCTTATATTTCCTCTTTGACCTGTTGGTTGTTTAGTAGTTCAGTAGCATAACAGTTAATATCCATATATTTATGAATTTTTCAATTTCTTCATAGAATGATTTCTAGTTTCATATCATTGTGTTCAAAAGATGCTTGGTATGATTTCAATCTTTTATAATTTATTAAGACTTGTTTTGTGACCTAACATAAGATCTACCTGGAGAATGTTCCATGTATACTTATTTTCTGTTGCTTTTGTATAGAATGTTCTTTATATAACTGTTAAGTCCTTCTGGTCTAATGTTTTGTTTAAGGCCAATGTTTCCTTATTGATTTTTTGTCTGGATGATCTATCCATTGATGAAAGTGGGGTATTATGGTTTCCTACTATTGCTGTATTGCTGTTTATTAGGGTCTGTTAATATTTGCTTTATATACTTATGTGCTCCTATGATGGGTACATAAATATTTATAAATGTTACATCCTCTTGTTGAACTGATCACTATATCACTATGTAATGCTCTTCTTTGTCTCTTATCACAGTTTTTTTTTTTAAGTCTATTTTGTCTGGTATAGGTATAGCAAACCCAGCTTTCATTTGGTCTACATTTGCATGGAATATATATTTTTTTCATACCTTCATTTTGTGTGTGTCCTTAAATCTGAAGCAAGTCTCTTATAAGCAGAATATAATTAGGTTTTGTTTTTTTAAATCCATTCAACCACTTTGTCTTTTGATTGGAAAATTTAGTCTGTTTACATTTAGAATAAGTATCGATAAGTATGAGCTTATTGCCATTTTCTTACTTGTTTTTTGGCTGTTTTGTTGTTTCTCTGTTCCTTTCTTTCTTTCTTGTGGTTTGATGACTTTTAGTTTTATACTTAGATTCTTTTCTCTTTATATTTTGTGTAATGGCTATAGATATTTGCTATGTGGTAACCAAGACTTTTATATATAACGACTTGTATTTGTGAGAGTCTATTTTAAATTGATAACAACTTAAGTGTGAACATATTCTAAAGCTCTAAATTTTATTCTCCCCCTCCATGTTTTATGTTTTTGATGTCACATTTTACATATTTTTAATTTGTGTATTTTTAAATTATTGTAATTATGGTTCTTTTTACTACTTTTCTCTTTTAAACTTCATGCTAGCTTTATAAGTGATTAACCTATCACCTTTACTATATATTTACCTTTTCCAGTGAGATTTATATATATATATATATTTTTTGAGATTTTATTTATTTGACAGAGACACAGCAAAAGAGGGAACACAAGCAGGGGGAGAGGGAGAAGCGGGCTCCCCACTGAGCAGGGAGCCTGAAGTGGGGCTCAATCCCAGGACCCTGGGACCATGACCTGAGCCGAAGGCAGATGCTTAATGACTGAACCACCCAGGCACCCCAAGATTTATACTTTTATATATTTTCTTGTTTCTAATTAGTACCCTTTCTTTTTAGCTTAAAGTCCCTTAAACATTTCTTGTAAGTCTAGTTTAGCAGTTATAAAATTGTTTAGCTCTTTCTTGTCTGGAAACTCTTGATTTCTGGAGGTTTTCTCTTTTCAGTACTTTGAATATATTATGCCACTCTCTTCTGGCCTGCAAAATTTCTGCTGAAAAATATGCTGATCATCTTATGGGGGTTCTCTTGTACGTAACAAATTGTTTTTCTCTTGATGTTTTTAAGATTCTCTCCTTGTCTTTAACTTTTGACACTTTAATTATCATGTGTCATGGTGTAGGTCCCTTTGGGTTCATCTTATTTTGAATCTCTGAGCTTTCTGGGTCTGGATGTCTTTTTTTATTTCCAAGTTTAGGCAAGTTTTTAGCCATTAATTCTTCAAATAAGTTTTCTTCCTTTTTTCTCCTCTTTCTGAAACCCCTGTAGTGCAAATGTTGGTCTGCTTGATATTATATTAAGCTATCTTCATTTGTTTTACTTTTTTTCTTTTTTCTTTTCTGATTTAATGAGCTCCACTCCCCTATTTTTGAGTTAATTGATCCTTTCTTCTGTTTCATTAGTCTGCTATTGAACCCCTCTACTGCAACTTGTTGTTCAGTTACTGTATTCTTCAACCCTGTGACTTCTATTTGGTATGTTCTTATATTTTCTGTCTCTGTTGAATTTCTCATGTATTCATCTATTTTTCCAAGTTCATGAGCAATCTTTACGAACATTATTTTAAACTTCATTAGATAATTCACTTGTCTCCATTTTAAGGATTTTTTTCCCCTGAGGTTTTATTTTGTTTTTTCTTTGGAACATATTCCTCTGTTTCTTTATTTACCTTAACTTTCTGTGTTGATTTCTATGCATCAGATAAAATAGCCATCCTTCCCAGTCTTCAAGGAGTGGCTACATGAAGGAGATCAACCTTATTGTTTAACCCTGCTCTAGCATTTGTTGTCTCTCAAACCCTTGTGATTGTCTAAGCATCCTATTCTATTTTTAATAACTCCCAGTATTTGAGAGGCTTCCAAGACCCACTGTGTCCCAAAGGGGAGGATCTCAGTTAACATTTAGAGGCAGGGTGATTGGAAGCTGGACCCTTATGCAGTAGCTTTTGAAGTATGCAGATATATACAGTTCTGTGGGGTCACAAGTGTAAGCCCCACTGGCCACAAAAGTTGGCATTTGAGAGATGTCTACTGGCAGCAGCTACAAAAATAAGGGACACAGGGGTATAAACTCTTCTGGGAGATGCTGCTGAGCTGGAGTGTAGCAGGGCGAGAGCACAGAGTGTGTCCACTGGTCACTGTTCCCTAGATGTATGTATGTAGGTCACTAGATGTGTGTCAAACTAGAAGACTGCCCTCCTGGTTGAAACTCCTGGACAAGCAAATAGGCCTCATTCACTGAAAGACTGGAGTGTGTTTCATTCTGCTTTGTGTGCAATGTCCTGGGTTATTACCTAATCAAGAACTTTCTCTCTCTTATTTTTACAGTCCCATGGAACCCAGGAATACAAGCCCAACTGGCCACCAGAGCCATGAGATCAAAGGATATCCTTTGGGTGGCACCCACATAATCTGGACAATAGACATAAAAACTGGAGCACAAGATGTGTGTAAAAGTTCACCTCTAGGAGATAAGGTCCCTCTGGAGCATGGCAGAGGGAGAGTGCAAAGATGACAGCTGTCCTCCAGGATCTTAGGAGCTTCCTCTCAGGCTGCAGCCATGAAGATAAGCTAGAAGTCCTCTTTCACAGAAAGACAAGACTCCTCAGACTGTTGCCTCTTGGTATGCCCTGAGGGTGGTAGTCATTTAAGAACTCCTCCATTGGTTATAGTCCTGTGGCCCCCAGATTTGGGAAATTTAGAGGTGTTCTGTGGGTGGTAGCTATAAAAATTGGGGCACCAAAGGAGGGAACAGAATCCCTTCTTTCTGGGAGGTATCAGTGATTTGGAGCTAAGGCAAAGGGTGAATGCAAGGATAGCACCTGCCAGCCTCCATCCCAAGAATACCCCAGCAGCCCTCTACATGTGTGCTAAATTAGATGGCTGCCCCTCAGGCCAATGCTTTAAGATAAGCAAATAAGTCTTTTTCACATAAAGTCTGAGCACTCCTCAATTGGCTGCTTTTATACTAGGCCCCAGGGGATGAGTCTGAGTACTTTAAAAGCCATTTCTCAGTTCACTGTGGCCTTGTGGGTCTTGTGGACAAGAGCCCCACTGGTTTTCAAAGCTATATGTCTTGGGGCTCATTTCTCATGTTCAGGTCTTAAAAGTTGGGGTGCCCAATGTAGGGTTCAAACCCTTCACTCCTCAGGGAGATACTGCAGGGTTTTAGTTTTCTCCCAATTGTGGATCTCTGTGCTGGGGTGGAGTTCATGTGTCTGCCTCCTCTACCCACTTTGATGTGGGTTTTTTTCCCATTTGCCTGATGCATAGGAGTCACTCAGCTACATTTTAGTTTTTTTTTGTTTTTTTTTTCCCTGAGGAAACTGTTCCATATGTAGCTATAGTTCAGTGTGTCCATGGAAGGAGGTGAGTTTAGAATCTTCTTACATTGCTATCTTGAACCAGAACTCTATTAGTAAATATAATTTTTTTTAAAAATTCCAGAATATTCTTAAAATGTCTTTTATACACATATTTCCTGTAATAAACCAGTAAAAAATGTTATTTTTAAAATCTAGTGATAGGGTCATGTGAATGGCTCAGCCGGTTAAAGCATCTGCCTTCAACTTAGGTCATGGATCCCAGAGTTCTGGGATTGAGCCCCATGCCTGGCTCCCTGCTCAGTGGGGAGACTGCTTCTCCCTCTCCCTCTGCCCTTTCCCTGTGCTGATGCTTGTGCTCTATTTCTCTCTCTCAAATAAATAAATAAAATTTTAAAAAATCCAGTGATATATTGAAATATTTCATCAAGGTATTATAGCCTCACAATTGAACTATGAGGTCTCTAAACACTAGGGTAGGTAGGTCTGTAGAGACATTAGTATAAGAGGTTTGTGTCCCTTTATAAACAATTCTCCATCACAGGGTTTTGCACTCTTCATTATATATTGTCTTCAGTTGTCTATATCTGTTAAAAGCCCTGATACTCACTGGATGATATATGTATTGGCCTGTTGTGAATAACACTTTGTTCAACTGATTCTCACTCTTTCAAAAACATGAACACATTTGGAAAACTGTCATGTAGCTAGTCTAGGGATTCAGACAATGTCTGAATGTTCTAGTCTATTAATATTATATCTGAATAGAAAATATAGTTCCTATCAATGGTCACTTTTGCTTTTTGGCATACTCAATATTAAAATCTGAAATTAGTCTCACAAGAATGACTATGCATCTGACCAACCAAGAACTTTTCTTTCTCTCAGAATTATAACTAGAATAACCATATAATTTTCCAGCCAAAAAAATCTTATTTTTGAGTGAAAGGAAAAACTATTTATAATTATGTAGAGACAAAAATATAAATGGGGAATGCCCTTGCAAACAAGGACATATGGCCCTCTTAGTTATAACAGTCAATATGAATATCCTTACAGAAACTTGTTAGCTTAGTGATTTAAAAAGTTTTTCGTTATGGTGATTAATCTTCAATGAAAATAGAACTCTAAAGACTCATCATTTCTAAGTATATTTCTTATTTAGTTACTTATGATGATGATGATGATGATGATTCTGTAGGATGCTCTGACAGTGTACCAAACTCTACTTATAAGCTAATAAAATTGTTCAAATTATGAGAATACAAATTCACAGAATGAAAGAAAATATCTTAAAGTTTATCTAGTCTAAGATTATTTTTCAGATAAGAAAAATGTAGGAAGGCAAAGTAAATTGCCCAATGTTGTACAGTAAATAAATTGCAGAGACAGAAATATATCTCTGGTATTCCAGTTGCCAATTAACACTTATCAGATTTTAAGTACATTACTTCAATTACTTTATATCTACTTTTTTTGCTTCTGAAACTACTATTACACTATATGTTAACTGAAATTTAAATAAAGACTTGAAAAAAACAAAAATAAATAAGTAAATAAATAAAATGATATTTAGGACAACTATAAAGTAGAATAAAATCACTTGAGGGTGCCTGGATGGCTCAGTCAGTTAAGTGTCTGCCTTCAGCTCAGGTCATGATCCAGGGGTCCTGGGACTGAGTCTGGCATCAGACTCCCTGCTTGGTGGGGAGTCTGCTTCTCCCTCTTCCTCTGCCACTCCCCCCTACTCGTGCGTGCTCTCTCTCTATCAAATAAATAAAATCTTTAAAAAAAATAGAATCACTTGAATCAGACCAGCAATCTCATTAAAAACCACTGGAAAGGTCATACAAACTGCAAAACAAACAAACAAAAATAATAAAAATAAAAAATCTGTTAAAGGCATCAGAGAGCTGCTGAAGCAGCCAGGACAAGAAGGAAAAATATTTACAGAGAAGAAACCACAAATATGAGTTTACATTCTGTAGCTATTTTTCATGAAGGCATTTGATTCTATGCACAGGATGAAAACTTGAGAATCCAGATTCTGTGGACAGAAGGCCACTCATGGGTCACAGAGAAACAAGCAGACTTATAAGACTAGACAGACAAAATTGGAAGCTTGAGGGCCTAAGATCAGAGTGAGAGGGCATGGAGAACTGGGCCTGATATGCAGCTGGTTTCCCCCTCAAGGTATTGGCTGAGCTCTGAAACTGCAAGGGACAAGAGGTCGGGAAACTAAATCTAACACCTATAAAAAACAGGGAGGGTTTTGTTTTTTTTTTTTTCCCAATCTCGCCTTACTACAAAAAGGATGTAGAGTACAGAACAAACCCCTGCCTTCCTCTATACAAATACATCACTGGCCAAAAAAAGAGGGGATGGTATTTCTGGTGAACATACCTGGTGCTAAAATGAAAAGAGAGATACACCTTAAGAACAAGGATGAACTAGGAGCTTTACTAAAGCTGTACTCTAGTCTTAGCTCAGTTTCATACTTGATTGAATTGAAGTGATAAAACCTCCATTCTGTCTAGTAGAGAAAAGGATGACCCTCTCTAAAAAAACATGATGTCAGGTGGAGTTCCTATGATTTTTTTTAATATACAGCATCTACCATTCAGCCAAAAATAATCATGCCAAGACAAAGGACCATATGACACCTCCAAACACCAAAGAAGATTTTTTTAAAAAAAGGCAAGATAAGGTGATCCAGATATTTGTTTTAGCAAAGACTGAAATAACCTATTAATGATGTTTAAAAAAAAAAGGAAAAGATGATAAAAGAGATGGAAAATGGATAATTTCACCAGAAAATTAGAACTATGAAATAGAATCAAATGGAAATTCTGGAATTGAAAAATACAACTAAATGTGTTCAATAGATGGATCTATTAGAGGTTAAACACGGAAGTCAAGATTAGTGACTTAGTCATGGTGCATAGAAAATATCCAAACTAAAGCACAAAGAGAAACACTAATAGAAAAAAAATAAAAATAAAAGCACAAGAGACACATAGGACACATTGTAAAATACATAACATATTATAAATTGGAACCCCAGTAGGATTAGAGAGAATGGGGAAAATATAATACTTGAAGAAATGGTAGTTGAGACATTTTAATTATTTTGTCATTTTAATTTTTAAAAATTTTAATTCCACTATAGTTAACATACAGTGTTATATTAGCTTCAGGTGTACAATATAGTAATTCAACAATTCTATACATTACTCAGTGCTCATCATAATAAATATATTCTTAATCTCCTTCACCAATTTCACCCCTCCTCCACCTCTCCTCTGGTAACCATCAGTTCTCTATAGTTAAGAGTCTGTTTTTTGGTTTGTCTCTTTATTTCATTGTTCATTGTTTTGTTTCTTAAATTCCACCTATGAGTGAAATCATATGGTATTTGTGTTTCTCTGACTTATTTCACTTGGCATTTTACTCCAGATCCATTCATGTTGTTGCAAATGGCAAGATTTCATTCTTTTTATGGTTGAGTAATATTTCATTGTGTATATGTACCATATCTTCTTTACTCATTCATCTATCAATGGACACTTGAGCTGCTTCCATAATTTGGCTATTGTAAATAATGCTGCAATAAACATAGGGGTGCATGTATCTCTTGGAATTGGTGTTTTTGTATTCTTTTGGTAAATACCCAGTAGTGGAATATATGGTAGTTCTATTTTTTAATTTGTTGAGGAACCTACATACTGCTTTTCACAGTGGCTGCCCCAGTTTGCATTCCCACCAATAGTGCATGAAGGTTCCTTTTTCTCCACAACCTTGCCAACACTTGTTTCTTATGTTTTTGATTTTAGCCATTCTGACAAGTGTGAGGTGATACCTCATTGTGGTTTTGATTTTTATTTCCCTAATCATGAGTGATGAGCACATTTTCATGTGTCTATTGGCCATCCATATATCTTCTTTGAAGAAATGTCTGTTCAGGTCCTCTGCCCATTTTTTAACAGATTATTATTATTATTATTATTATTATTATTATTATTAGTGTTGAGCTGTGGGAGTTCTTTAGATATTTTGGATTCTAATCCTTTATCAGATATAACATTTACAAATATCTTCTCCCATTCTGTTAGTTGCCTTTTAGTTTTGTTGACTTTTTCCGTTGTTGCACAGAAACTTTTTATTTTGTTGAAGTCCTAATAGTTTATTTTTGCTTTTGTTTCCCTTGCCTCAGGAGACCTATCTAGAAAAAAGTTGTTATGGTCCATGTCAGAGAGGTTACTGCCTGTGTGTTCCTCTAGTATTTTTATGGTTTCAGGTC